CTGCACCACCCAGGCGCCCCACACACATACTAAATTTAAGGAGAGCCTGAATATGAGAAATTCTCTTTACCTATAGGCAATCGATTCTTCTTATTTGCTGGAGTGGTTGCTGGAGACAGCTGAGGAGTATTATAGGGAGTCATTTCTAAACTGCTACTTTTTCCTGGCTTTGCCTGGGGCAGGTTTGCCAATAAATTGTCAAGAGCCATCCTATCTTCTCTTAGTTGATCTCCAGACATTACACTCTTCATAAAATTCACCTGGCAAAAGTAAAAGGACATTAGCTAGTGAGATCAATTTTTCAAATACAATATATATTTCTCACACAATGTACTCATCTATGACTCTGCCCATGCTTAGATAAATGACTTTTGAGAAAATCCTATTAAAGAATAAAGCCATTACCAGAGTAATAAGCTGACTGTAGGTTATATAAACCACAGTTCTGCTCAATCCTTCCAGAAGATTAACGGAGGACATTGGAGGGGTCTCCACTGCGCGGCCCCCAATCACAACATCAAGGAAAGCAGCAACACAGCTCTGTAAAACAGGGAAAAATCAAAGTGAAATATTTCCCCTTTAAAATAAGGGAACAAAATGTCTAATCAAGGGGGACAAGCATGCAAAAAGTTATTCTTGAAAATTATATTAAACCCAACATTGAAACAAATTAAACTCTTCATGAATTAATATAGAATTGTCTACACAAAATTCTGGTAAGTGAAACAAACATGACACAGAACAGTGCACACTACACCATTTGTGAAAAGGGAGGGATGGGGTGACTAGGAAAATATATGTAAGAGTTTGCTTGTTTACATATAGACCTCTTGAAGAAAACATAAACGACTGAGAACATCAAGAACCTTTTGGGGAGGAAGGGTGCCTGGGTGGCTCGGCTCAGTTGGTTAGGCATCCGAGTCTTGATTCTGGCTCAGGTCATGATCTCACAAGTTCATGAGACTGAGCCCCGCATCCAGCTCTGCACTGGCGCCATGCAGCCTGCTTGGGATCCTCTCTCTCCTCTCCCTCTGCCCCTACTGCACACATGCACGTGCTTTCTCCTTCTCTCTCAAAATAAATAAATAAACATTAAAAAAGAAAAAAAGAAGAATCTTTTGGGGAGGAAATAAAGGCTAGAAATCAGAGGTGGAAGGAGAATTTGACTATATAACCTCTGAATTTTAAACAAAGTAGAATGTATAGCCTACTTGACTATGATTAATTAAAATCTAATTTAATTAAAGTGAACAATGCCATAAAACATACTTATAAAATACACTTAAAACTATACAATTATCTCTTGTTTGCTTTAGTAACTTATTAAAAAAATGTTTTAGTTTTTATTTTTGAGAGAGAACGTGAGCAGGGGAAGGGCAGAGAGAGAAGGGGACAGAGGATCCAAAGTGGGCCCTCCACTGATAGCAGAGAATCCAACATGGGGCTCTAACTCACGAACTGTGAGATTATGACCTGAGTCAAAGTCAGATGCTTAACCAATTGAGCCACCCAGGCACCCAACTTTAGTGACTTTTTAAAAAATTAAACTATTTATGTACTTAAACATTTTCAATTTTTTTAAAGTAATCTCTACACCCAACATGGGGCTTGAACTCACAACCCTGAGATTGAGTTACATGCTCTACCCACTAAGCCAGCCAGATGCCTTAAATTAAACTTTTTAAAATAATAGCTCTTTGGCTCTCTTATGGCATCTCCTCAACACTTCATTGAGAATAAGTAATCTCTGGTGACATCATCATTTTTAAACTTTTTGTATTTTAGAGAGAGAAAGAGAGAGTGTGTGTGCACATACACAAGAGCAGGAGAGAGGGGCAGAGTGAGAGAAGGAGAGAATCTCAACCAGGCTCCACGCTCAGCGTGAGCTACCCAGGTGCCCTGTGACATCTTCCTTTAAATATTGCTCATCCAGGGTGCCTGGTGGCTCATTCAGTTGAGTGTCCAACTCTTGATTTCAGCTCAGGTCATGATCCCAGGGTCATGGAATTGAGCCCTGCATCGGGCTCCTCCCTGAGCGTGGAGCCTGCTTGAGATTCCCTCCCTTCCCCACCCTCCTTCCCACCTCTCTCTCCCGCTCACACGTGCGCATGCTCTCTCTCTCTAAAATGAAAAAAATGAATGCTGCCGATCCAATATTGTATCCTTCTATGGCTATACCAAGGGTAACTGAAATGAATATTTAATTTATACACCACCGAAAGACAATAAAGACAGTAGTTAAGTTCACTAATACTCTGGCAAAATTGTCTATAAACAGTATTTCACACGAGACAGTATTCATTCTTACTTTGTCAAATTTTCCAAGGCTGCTCTTTGTCCGGGGGTCTCCCTCTTCAGAGCCAGTCATTGCCAATTGCTGCAAAAGGCGGCCAACCTGCAACCCAAAGCAGTGACAGGGAGACACAGGCTATAGATACTTACAGATTCTTCTCTATGAAAGCACTTCCATTCTAGTCTAAACATCTGTTTCATAGTAATATTCACACAATCTGACCAAGCATGCAAAAGAGGGTCCCAAATAAAACATGTATCTTCTCTACATCAGCTTTTACTATATTTAGATTAAGAGTTATGGACAATAAACAGAAAATTTTGCTTTATACATTATACTGACAATATGAAATAAAAATGCAACACCTTTGTTTCTGATATTATACTTTTCATACATTTAGAAATCTTAAAATTCATTTGCAAAAGTTCAAACTACTTCAAGTTAATATGAAGTACTTTTCCCTTATATAGTTCATAAAATACTCAAGGTGAATTTTTTTTTTTTCTAGATTTAAAAATCCTACAGAACATAGCTGCTTGGAAGGTAAATATTAATTCACAGAGCAAGTTTCTTACTGGTAAGAGAGAACTGTTAATCTACTCTCTTTAAAGACACTTTGGAGAAAACTAATATCATATAGCATTATCTTAATATCTGGGACAATTCCCCTTTTTGCTCATTTTGAAAATAAGTGACTCAATCTTTATTGGAACGACAAAAATAAAAACTACAACTACACTATCTTAGAATAAATTTAGTGTTTCACAGATAATAAAAAATTTTTAATTTTATTTTGGGGATTCTTTATAGTTAATTGCTAAACATACCAATATAATAGAACTAACCATGAAAAAAAAGCTTATCATTTAAAAATAAAATCATCCAAAGATATAATCTATTCCAAATAAACTCAGTCTCTTCTTCACAGTACTTCTGTGGGATAGGATATGATTAAAAGATTCTCTTAAGAAATAACATGATTTTAGTGCCTTGCACTAGTGTTGGTTGCTGTCCGACCAGTTTGGTCACCATCATCTCAGGTCCATGAGGTGCCCAAGCCCCAGTTCGAAAGGCCTGGCCTCCCCAGTGCTGACAGCCCAGAGCCTGAAGCTCCCATCCCAGGCAGTCTCCCTCTCTCCTCACCCTCCCTCCATGCTCTGCCCTCTGTCCAAAATAAATAAACGTTGAAAAAAAAATTAAAAAAAAAAAGAAATAACATGATTTCAGTAGTTCAGATGATTGGCGGGGGGGTAAGGAATGCCACACACAGAGTCTTTTCATAAACTCTGAAGCCTGAAGAGTTTCAGATTTCAAAATTTGTAATTTTTGAAAGGCTGATCAGTGCATAGATGTAACACAGCCAGTATTAAGGGTGGCATTCTGTAATCAAATGTATTAACATTTCTGCAGCAAAACAGGAATATTCATTAGCAGCAAATCGAATAACGATGATAAACAGCCTCAGCGAGTTCGGGTTAAAAGCCTGGTTAAAACAACGATAGAAAATGGATGTATAGCTGCCTGGGTGGCCTGGAATGGCGTCCGACTCTCGGCTCAGGTCACATCTCAATGGTTCAGAGTCTGCCCCACGTCGGGCTCTGACTGCTCAGAGCCTGGAGTCCTGTTCTCATCTGGCCCTTCTTCTCTGACCCTCCGTCATGCTGCTCTTGGTTCTCTGTCTCAAAAATATATAAACATTAAAAAAAAAAAAAAAAGAAAATGATGTATAAAGATTTTCAATCATGCTAGGTTTTGAAATCATGGGAAAGGGACGGTGGCCCTGTTCTAGACAATCTAACCAACTATACATTCAAATCTGAGGACTCTATTTAAAAACTAACACAAAATATTTTATGACTAAAATATTTGACAATATTTTTAAATCCCAATATAATAACTGCTTCCATTTCTTAAGAAGAAAACATTTAAGGCAGTTTGAGGCAAAGGAATGGTAAGAATATATAAATATTATCATCGTATTTTCTATTCCCATCTACCTAATCAAATGATTTTCAACTGAATGCCACACTAATAATAATAGCAAAAGCATACCTGCATCAGATTAAATCTTGCCACCTCATTAATAGGAGCATCAGAAATTATTCCATACTGTTCTGGATTGACAACTGCAGGACAGATGAAGCAGGCCAAAAGGAGATCAGTACACATTGCCCTGACTTCCCCAACTTCCAGTCTATCTACACAGGAGAGGGTTTTATACATCTGTGACACAATCCACCTCAAACTATGTGGAAAGCAGTATGTGTTCTGTTTGAGATAACCAATGAATTTGTTCACCAAAGCCACCAGTTTGGCTTCATTGGAATCCACCATCTCTTGAACCTTTTGCCTGAATCTATCTGAGCCTTTCTCTCCAAAGAGTTTTTCCTGTTGAGATGGGGAGAACCTCTCGATTAGCTTGTTTGGATCTGTTTCCAGGTGATCTTCATCTTCAACAAGTAGTTGCATGATTGGCTCATGTAAAGTAGCTGTGAGAAAAAGTTTGGCAGAAAACAGTCCTTCAGAAAAAAGTTTAAATAAGATGCTGAAGGCACAAGTTCCTCTCCTCAAAAGTCGCCTGGGGTTGTCACTTTCTTTAAGTTCAAATTCAATCAAGTATCTCAAAACCTGAAGGAGGTAGCTTTCATCTTCTTGCATAATGCAGTTGCCATAGAGGGAGGTAAAAACTGTGTAAATAACACTTTGTGTGTTCTCCTGATTAAGTTTCTCCCCAGCAACCAAAGAGGAGGCAATAAGACGAGGATTTTCCCTTAACCGACTCAAGAATTCTCCATAAGCAGTCTCCTGAAATCCTAATTGCTTATATCCATCAACAAACTGTGTATCTTCCAAAATCTTGGCATGCTGGCAACATTCAGCAGGGGAAGCTTCAGCACTAAAAAATGAGCAGACAAGCAAAACAACAAAATCAACAACAATAACACATATACTCCATTGAAACTCCACTGAAACTCCACTAAAACTCCACTGAAACGTAGACTGATTATAGTCCCAGCAATGAGATCACTCCAAAGTGCTCAAATCTTTCAGCCCACCAGCATCTCAATGTGTAAAAAAAGGCAAAACCAAAAATACAAAGGAGGACAAATTCCTCATATTAAATCAGGTCCAATGAAAAGTATCAAAAAAATAACCATTATTCTGATTTCTTTTTTTAATTATATTTCAATTTTTTACATTTATTTATTTTTGAGAGACAGAGTGAAACAGTGCAAGCAGGGGTGGGGCAGAGAGAAGGAGACACAGAATCCGAAGTAGGCTGCAGGCTCTGAGCTGTCAGCACAGAGCCCAACGCGGGGCTCGAACCCACAAACCGTGAGATCAACACGTGAGCCGAAGTCGGATGCTCAAACAACTGAGCCACCCAGGCGCCCCACCATTATTCTGATTTCTACCATCAAAGATCGGTCCTATTTTTTTTCAATGTCACATAAATGGAATCATACAGTATGTACTTTTCTGTGTCTTGCTTTTCTCAACGTTATACCTCAGCACCACTCTTCTTACAGTTAAAAACTGCTTCTTAGAACAATAGAACAATAAGGTATTAACACAGTGAAAAACATTTCTAAACGAAGAAGTAGACAAATAGTATCAAAACATGGAAATGTATACAGTTGGCCCTTGAACAATGCGGGCATCAGGGGCACTGACCCCGGGTGCAATGGAAAATCCACATAAAACTTCTGACTCCTCAAACACTTAACTACTAATAGCCTACTGTTGACCAGAAGAAAGCCTTACAGATAACATAAAGTCGATTAACACATATTTTGTATGTTATATGTATTATACACTGTATTCTTACAAAAAAGTAAGCTAGAGAAAAGAAAATGTCATAAGAAAATCATAAGGAAGAGAAAAATACATTTACAGTACTTTACTCTAAAAAATCCACATAGAAGTGGACCCGCCCAGGTCAAACCTATTTGTTGTTCAAGAGCCAACTATATGTTAAATAATATTAGGAAAAAAGGGCGTGTCTGGCTGCCTCAGTTAGTGGAACACGCAACTCTTCATCTCAGGGTTATGAGTTCAAGCCCCACGTTGGGTGTAGAGATTACTTAAAAACTGGGTCACTCGCCTGGATGGCTCAGTCGGTTAAGTGTCCCTTGATTTCAGCTCAGGTCATAATTTCACAGGTTCTGGAGATCAAGCCCCTTGGGCTCTGAGCTGCTTGGGATTCTCTCTCTCTCCCTCTTTGCCTCTCCCCTGCCTGCACACACAAGCACGCACGCTCTCTCTCTCTCTCTCAAAATAAATAAATAAATTTACAAAAAAATTTTTTTCATCTCTAAAATAACAACAGTAATATTAGGAAAGCAGAGAGGTGCCTAGCTTCCTCACTTGGTAGAGCATGAAACTCTTGATCTCAGGTCATGAGTTCAAGCCCCATGATGGGTATGGAGCCTACTTAAAAAAATGAAAAAAAGTAGAACACAAGATAATTTACTCTCAGCAAGAACAAAATGTTACATACATAAAGAGACAAAATTAATTGATGTGGTATAAAATATTAACACTAAAGGTGTAATTCTCTGTAACAGTGCTTAATTAATAGACAAAAACTCACCTTAATGTTGACTCACTGTCTGAAACCATGCACTTTGTAGGAAATAGATTATTTACAGTTACCAGTGAGCACAGAACTACAGTGGTTCATAAAACTTTTTCTTTACCTGGTTATGATAAGCCGGTCCAAATTAATTCTCTGTTGCTTAGCAATCCATGCTGTCCGATACAACTTTTCAGCCGTCTTAAGTACATCTGCATTTAGCCTCTGAATGAGCTGTTTCTCAGAGTTTACATATAAGCGTTCCTGCTTGAGGTGATGGGCCAGAGTATGAATATCCAGCTTCACCATCTTCAAATGCAGGGCAGGTACAAAGGCTAATCACTAAGAGGAAAAAGACAAATTTAAAAATTTGATATCACTTAAATTGTTTTCCAAAATCAAAAGGGGTAGGAGAATACATTAAGAATTGGGCTACATTTAGGGGTGCCTGGATGGCTGAGTCAGTTAAGTGTCTGACTTCGGCTCAGGTCATGATCTCACAATTTATGAGTTCAAGCCCCGCATCAGGCTCTCTGCTGTCAGCACGGAGCCTGCCTTAGATCCTCTGTCTCCCTCTCTGTCTGCCCCCTCCTCCACTTGCACTCTCTCTCTCACGCACTCAAAAATAAAATTAACAAAAAACAAAAGAACGAGGCTACATTTAGTACTATGATTAACTCTAATTTTAAAATAATCTGTATATTTATTGCAGAAGCATTACAGGTTCAGTATAGAAACACTGATGGGGCGCCTGGGTGGCTCGGTCGGTCAAGCATCCGACTTCAGCTCAGGTCATGATCTCACGGTCTGTGAGTTCGAGCCTCGCGTCGGGCTCTGTGCTGACAGCTCAGAGCCTGGAGCCAGCCTGTTTCAGATTCTGTGTCTCCCTCTCTCTCTGCCCCTCCCCTGTTCATGCTCTATCTCTCTCTGTCTCAAAAATAAATAAACGTTAAAAAAAATTAAAAAAAAAAAAAAAGAAACACTGGTAAATACAGATAAGCAAAAAGGAAAGTTCCTAATAAGGCCACTGCTCAGAGACACCCTCAGTAAAAACCTTGTGTATTTCCTTCAAATCTAGTGTCTATTAGCACTAGAATTTCCTTGACTGCTCCTTTTTACATTGCAATCAACCTAACCTGTTGACTTTTTTTTATTATTTTTTGACTCTATCTTTAAAATACATCTCCAATCTGACTACTTCTCACCACCTCCTCCACCATCATCTCTCACCCAAAGGTCTATAACCACCACTTCCTGATTTCCCTGCTTCCTTTCTTGTACTACTAGAGTCCATTCTCTACCTAGCACAGAGTATCCTTTAAAAGTCAGTCAGATCACCTTATTCCCTTACTAGAAACCATCCAAAGCCTTATTTTACATTTAGAATGAAATCTGAAGGTCTACCCCCTGGCTACTTCTCCAACCTCATCTCCTACCATTCTACCCTTGCTCACACAGCTCCAGACACACTGGCTTCCTTGCTTGAACAGGCCAAGCATGCCCCTTCTTCAAAGCCCCTGCATTTGATGATCCCTCTGTCTGGAACACTATTCCTTTAGGTATCTTTGCAAGGCTAGTACTTTCATTTAGGTCTCTCTGCTCAAATTTCTATTTAGAAAGGCCTTCTCAGATAACTCCTAAAATTGAAACTATCCCTTCCTATTCCCTTTTCCAGTCTTTTTAAAAAGTACTTGCCTTTGTCTAGCGTTAAATTACAGACAGCTACTAGCATGTTCATTATGCTTAGAGTATGTATGGTTCCCCACTTAAAGGTAAGAGCCACCAGGGCCAAGGCTTGTCTGTTTTATTCACTCACAGCTGTAACTTCAGGGCTGAGGAGAGGGCCTGGTTCATAGCAAGGATTGAACAAATATTTGGAGCACCTGGATGGCTCATTCGGTTGAGCGTCCAACTCTTTATTTTGGCTCAGATCATTATTCCAGGGTCCTGGGATCAAGCACTGCATCAGGCTCAGCACTGAGCACAGAGCCTGCTTGTGATTCTCTCTCTCTCCGTCTCCCTTCTCCCTACTCCCACCCTCTCTCTAGAATTAAAAAAAAATTTTTAAAGAATTGAACAAATATTTGCCAAAGGAATAAACTCACATAATTCTTGTTTATCTAGTAGCTAAACAAATAGAAATAGCACACATATTTTAAAGCATTATTATTTAAGCTATGCATGCCCTTGAACCTAGGCCTGCCAGACCACATCTTTTTCTTAAACAGGGGAGAGTAGTGTGAATTGGGTTATGAGGTCCCTGGGCAGGGTACCTCAGCTCAGCCACTAAACTCACTTGCTGGCCGCAAATCTGTTCCAACCTCCAGCTAAGGAGGCATCTGCCTCCTCCCCAAGGGTGGGGTCCAGAGCATCTCCTGCCCAGTCTGACCTCAAGCAAAGACCCAATCTCTGGGAACTCACCTCCCTGAAACTCAGGGAGGACCCTGTTGGGGCCACTTTTGGCCCTAGTCTCAGACCTTCCCAGGGGACACGGGGTAGAGTGACACAAAGCACTCAGCTCATAGCCCCTCTGTGATGATGTTTTATATCAACGACAGTAATCAGTGTAGCCCCAAACCACAAATGATTTATATCAACGACACAAGTGCCTATGGCCCATATAACACAATACGACATCGTATGTCCAGGTAGCACATTGTCAATAAGTTAGAAAAATAATTCTATTAAGAACTAGCATTATGGGGGCACCTGGGTGGCTCAGTCAGTTGAGTGTCCGACTCTTGATTCCAGCTCCGGTCATGATCTCACAGTTCATGAGACTGAGGCCCAAGTAGGGCTCAGCACTGACAGCACAGAGCCTGCTTGGGGCTCGCTCTCTCTCCCTCTCTCTCTGCCCTCCCCCTGCTCATGCTCTCTCTCACTCTCTCTCTTGAATAATAACTTTAAAAAAAAAAGAATTAACATTACGATTGTACACTTGAAAATTACTATGACAGTATAGTTTCAATGTCCTTACCATAACTACAACAACAAAATGGTAATTATATGAGGTAAAGGAGGTGTTAATTAACCTTATTAACCTTTGCAATACGTTTGTGTATCAAATCATCACATTATGTACCTTAAACTTACACAATGTTATATGTCAATTATATCTCAATAAAGCTAGGAAAAAAGTTGTCCCAGCCAATCAGATTCATGAGTGACCTTAATGGATTTGGAATTGATAAAACAATACATTTGTAGTGAATTCACATTTTAACGGAGATGACAACCCAGACCTCAAAGCTCTCAATATGTTTACAGATCCAATAAAAACTGTTCACATATGGGGTGCCCGGGTGGCTCAGTCGGTTGAGCAACTGACTTCTGCTCACGTCATGATCTCGCAGTCCGTGAGTTCAGGCTCCGCGTCAGGCTCTGTGCTGACAGCTCGGGGCCTGGAGCCTGCTTCGGATTCTGTGTCTCCCTCTCTCTCTGCCCCTCCCCCGCTCATGCTTGCTCGCTCGCTCTCTCTCTCTCTCTCTCTCTGTCAAAAATAAATAAACATTGGGGCGCCTGGGTGGCTCAGTCGGTTGAGTGTCCGACTTCAGCTCAGGTCACGATCTCGCGGTCCGTCAGTTCGAGCCCCGCGTCGGACTCTGTGCTGACGGCTCAGAGCCTGGAGCCTGTTTCAGATTCTGTGTCTCCCTCTCTCTCTGACCCTCCCCCGTTCATGCTCTGTCTCTCTCTGTCTCAAAAATAAATAAATGTTAAAAAAATTAATTAAAAAAAATAAACATTAAAAAAATTAAAAAAAAAACTGTTCATATATTGAATTTTTTTTTTTGGTGCTAAGACCAAAAACACAGAATTAAACATTATGGTAGCAGCTAGAAATGTTTTTTAAAGCTGCCTGACATAAACAGGTTTAGCAATTAATAATGTTCATTTCAGGAATTTTTTTAACTTTCTTATTTTAATGAACTACTGAAAACTAGGAAAATTTCAGATATTACCGTCTAACCTGAATCTTATTGCTTCCAAAGACCACTCTCTTATACTTTATCAATTCCCACACGAAGCTGTTATTCTAAATCTCCTGTATCATGAAGGCCCTCATATTGCTCTCTTCTCAAAAGATGTAAGTATGTCCACTAAGATGATTCATTGTTAATAACAAAAGTATCTGGGTACATTCAAAAAATAACTGGTGACATACAGACATATACCTATAAAATCATATTAACTCAGTTTACAGACAATTAATATATATAACTTTGTAGACTTCCATGTGGGAACTCTAACATCCTCTAGGGGGCTCTAGGTCCATAGACTAAGAACAGAATCACTGAATAAATGATTGCAATTGTAAGAAGTATTACAGTTAATGAAAACAGTACTGAAATGGGCTCTTAAAGACCTGAATACTTCATTAATTAGTGCTATTACTTGGGCACATAAAGCATATTCTCTGAACCTCAGATTTTTTTCACCCATAAAAAGTGGACACGATATCTACATTTATCATCCTGGTACAAGCAACATATTAGGTACCAGAAATACAAAAGGAATAAAGTCTAATGTGTACCCTCAAGAACTTCCTAACCTAGCAGAATGAAGCAGACGTGCAAGCAAATGGCTGTCCAAAAATGTAATGGGTGTTATGCTAGAAGACTATACAATGTGGAGGGGGGGACAAAAAGAGAAGAAACGATTGAGGAGTTAGATACCTGCACCTAGTCTTGAAAGGCAAGTTGAGGGGCTGGGGAGGGGAGAGACGAGTATTTGCCAGACATAAAGAGGATGGTGGGTGGGGTGGAGTTCCAGATAGAAGGTGCCAACCAAGCAAAGGCACAGAGGTGTATAACGAAGAGTACATTTAGAGAGTTACTCATGGCTTCCTACAGTCTGGGGGACTGTGTCTGTGTGTTCAGTGAGGTGGGGAGAGGTGGAGAATGGGTAAAATGAGAGATAAGGCTGCAGAGACAAAAGGTACACAAAAGCCAGAGTCAAGAAACTTAGACTTTGCACTGTAGGTGTTAGGAAAAGTTTTAAATAGGAGTTTAAGCTCCTATTATGATAATATTTATATTTGAGAACATAAACTCCAGCAGTAAGGAAAAAAATGAGGACACGGGGATAGGACTAGATGAAGAGAGACAACGAAGTTGTTGGTAGGCAGGAAATGTAGTAGCAATAGAAAGAACAGGACAAGTTTGGGACATGTTACGAGGCAGAAACACAAGATTTGTTCATCACAATTGGGGAAAATAAGGTAAAAGTTTCCAACTCTAGGAACAAGAGTAGGTATGGTATTATTCACCACAGTTGAGTATCATATGGAGAAACAGGTTATAAACTGAAAA